AGGAGAAGACGCTCGCTACGGTTTGCTTTTTCGCTTGATTACCTCCAACTTCTTGCCTTTTATATTCGGCGAAAAGCATTGCGACACCCCGCCCATAAACTCACGTCGATGTTCAGCTCGTAACGGACAAACAAACTATGACGCAACAAGCCTAGCGTGCACTACTGCAAGCACAATATACAACATGTACAGCGTGATAACGGCACTATTTGTGCAAGATACATGTTGTATCTTGTTATCACGCTGTCATAATCTCCAATTTCGATCGCCGCGCTGGCTACACATCCCTGCATTAGGTCCTTCTACTCACACACAAAGGAAACGAGCGCGAGAGAGTTCTTCTACAATCGCTGTTTCAACCCGTATATCATCACCTTACCGGGGTTCGCCTTCGCTTGGGATAAAAAAGTTTCAGAACAACCGTATGGGTACGTGGGAAGTAACTGGATACTCGAAGTTAGGAAAAGTGATGCTGAGTATACGACTCGGTTTGCACATGGGTGAGAAAAATACTCGGTATCTTCTGTCTTAAAGTTTTACATGCTAGTTTCGGCGAAACAACCGTACGCCTGAAGCGTCTTATCACTAGACTTGGTAAAACTTAGAGCATGACTTAACCAAAAAGTCATACTTCTCATTGTCGTACTGCACTGGCAGCTTAATATGTATGAGTGGGTCAGCATTAACGTGTGTACGCGCGAATCGTATCAGCAATTTACAATAATGATGCATGCATTGATGACTTCGGTCAGTCTGTCAGGACCGGTGGTCCATAATTACCAACGTTTTTAGATTTTACAAGATGTATCCAGCAACGCCTGCGGTCTATGTGTCCAGTCCGAGCAAGATGGCTCGTGTTGATGCTGCCAGAGACATCGGGTAACAGCAAAGCTTTTCTCCAGAAAGTCAATCGCCTTCAGGGCTTTTCAATCGCTATAGAATCAAATAAAATTTGCGATTCACCGACTAGCGCAATAAAATTCGTTTAGGGTGTCATGCACCGGATTAGACTTGTCCATTACTGACCATTCACAGACGGATATATGACGGTGTAATGGTGATTCAATTTCCCAGGTAGGAAAAGTGTGGGTCACAGATCACATAATGGTGTGACCACATTAGGGTGTGGCTACACTTAAATAAGAAGCCAGTACGTGGCTGGACTGCTAGTAGTTATACATTTGATGAGGTTTTCCTATATAGATAGGAAATCCTAAAAAAATCGATAAAGGCGGCTTTGC